ATCACTATGAGACGCCTAATTAACAAACACAGACATTAAAAAACGAGAATTTCCAACCCGCCAAAAAATCATAATTGAAAGGCTAAAGATCTCACTTGAAAGAAATACTGCTATCATGTTAAATGAAAATGAATAGATAGAATAGATGTGCACTCATACACACACATTTTGAGTATTTCCACACCTCAGAACTGCGTTGCACTCCCAGACCAGGAATGACGACATTAATTAGACTTGCAACTGCGACAACATAAACGTCTCATCTTTTATTCAAAAACTCATATCGGCAGGGAGCGGGTGTATAGCTCTGTCTGCCAGTGTGTTCTTCTTTGTGGTTGTATAAGAGGTTGCTCCCATGATAAAAACGTTTAATATCTTGCAGCCACCTGATACATGATGTGAAAACACAGTATGGAGGACCATTAGCACTGATAGCTGCACTCTGTCTAAAAAGGCTGAACCAGTCATCATCTCCACTGAGAGAGAGATGAGGACAGGGTCTCTTCTAAATGAGGCTGATAATGAGGAAATGTCTCTTGGAACAAATACCAGAATACAAGTACTCGAGACACAATTTTAATAGAAGTGTAAATCTCCTTTCTCGGTAAAATCCCCCTCACTAGTATCTCCAAAATATTAAAACTGCCAGCCCCACTTCACACACTTTTGGGGGGATTTCATATAAGGTACTTTGCCTGTGGAGGCAAATATTTCACCTCAGCAGAAATAAATGGGCTTCCTCTTGAAACATTAATCCTCCAAGGGCTTACATATGTCATATGTACATACATAATACATGTAATACATACTGATGGGACTATAACACTGCAGTTTTATTGTTATACTAGTAAAGACAATTAGAAAATGACTGAATGTGTGTTTCGATTAATTTAATGCAAAGGTGAGTTTGACATTTGGGAAAATATGCTTATTAGCTTGTTAGCTACTTATCTTACACCTATGTATAGTAAACATGAAGTTGCAGCCATAAGGAAATTAACTTAGCTTAGCATGAAGACTGAAAATAGGGGAAAACAGCTAACCTGGCTCGGTCCCAAGATAACAAAATCTGCACACATCTAAAGCTCAATAAGTAACATCATCATATCTTGTTGGCATGTTTAAAAACAAATAGTGTTGTACAGATGGTGTATGTGTCAGACTATTTCTGGAATGGGAGCAGTGACTATCAGGAGTCATCAGACAGTCACTGCTTCCAGCCAAAAACACTCAGTTTTATCATCTTGTTTTTACACTTTGGTTTTGTATAGATTAAACAAACCCGATTTGTATCTTATTTTGATAACTTTGGATGGAACTAGGTTAACAGTTCTACTGTACAGACAAAAGACAGTCCCAGCTAACTCTTGGCAAGGAAGTGAATAATTGTATATCCACCATTGTTAAACAATTCCTTTAAACCTTCCTGCAGAACTGTTAAACTAAACATACACACACTTGAAACAAAGGAATTATTGTAATTGCATGCAAACAGTCAGCCCAGTATAATAATGCTGTGCAGTGTTTTGATTGTGAACGTGTCACGTGCTGATCAATGCCTAACTTACTTATTGATTCTCCTCGAAACAGAAAATCGAATGTAGTTTTTTGTATGTAATAAGCAAGGAGAATCTTCCAAAGCTCTTGAGTCTTATTGCTCATTGAGAACTTAGATGCCCAATCAAAACATTAACACCATTAAACCAGCCAGTGGGGTTCCCACACATATCAACCACCTCCCTTCACAGCCAAGCTAATGAATGTGTGTGTACCAATGTTTCAGCATCCTTTAAGACTGCATATACCCTTCAAGGCACTTGATTAGGGTCTCTAAAATTAGATTACGTCCTGTAATTTGGATGGGGGATCCCAGAAACTCATAGGCGCCAGGTAAGAAGAATAATGACACATGTGTACATAACCCCACACACACTAGAGAAATCCTTATTAAACCCACTCCATGTCTGCTCAGTGTGTGGGTGGCTATGAGTCCCTCAGGTTGTGTGTAGAGAGACTGTATATTTTTATGTGTGGGCTTCGCAGCCACTGACGTCTGAAAACTTTGGGTTATTACAGCACTGAGGGCTAACACTTAAACACACACACACACACACAGACACACGTATACCCAGGGGACATCGGTCCATGAGAGGAGGAGGAATCCACTTACAAAGACAGAGACAGAGAGCCTCAGCCTCCGCCACAGTCAACCATCAGACAGACCTTTCCTCCATTGTATATGATGAATTCTTTCATTTCTGCTGGTTAGATTATCCTACTCCTGTTGATGTGTGTGTGTGTGTGTAACACTAGCTTTTGTAAATGGTTTGCCTATAGCATATGTAGTAGTACTACGAAGACACCACTATTATTTACTGTAGTTGTGATTATAAAATATTTATATGTAACTTTATATCATATATTATGCCATGTTAGAGCATGCTGTATAAGTTATATTAGAAACAACAAGTATGTTTAAGATTTCAGTTTTTCAAATCTCAAACAACTTTGTGATAGTTTGAGTGAATCAGAATTTTCTGAAATTCACAGATTGAATTTACAAAATATAATCAACTGTTATTGAGCCAAGTACCCAACAGTAAATAAAAGGGTTTAGCTTAATCTCCACCTCCAACAAAAGTAAAAGACTGATGTAATAATATAAAACATAAAACAGTCACAGCTGCCGACTGTCTGCACACGTATGTTTGATATTTTGCACATTTTATACCGGTGATACTTACATACATATAGACTACTTAAGTGGGATTTTTAGTGCAGGGCTTTTACTTGTGATAGAACATTTTAAAGAGTGGTATTGTTATATACTTATACAAAAACACCAAACCAACACCAACAAACTTGTCAGTGTGCTTCTGAATATAAGGGCGGACAAAGCAATGCTATCAAGACATCTGCAGCGCACAGAACAACCCTGTGGTGTTTCTCAGATTGTATTTGCGCTCTTAATCTGTGCGCAATTAGCGCTTCATTAACAGGACAGCAGCTCCGGGGCTCCCCTGCAGGCGCAGTCTCAGGCTGAAGCTCAGCTCAGGAGGAGAAGATAGGAGATGTGCACTGTGCAATGAGGCCCAATGCAATTTCGGCTGAGAATGACTGAATTATTAATAATGGTTACTTATGAAATTATAATATAGCCTATAAACCTTATGTGTGTTTATAAAGTAGGGTTTATTATGGAGAGGGAAGCAGCAGATGGTGATGATAATGTGTTTATTTTGACTTCACTTTTGAGGTCTCTGAGGATTTTGCCCTCCGTTAATCCCTTTTCTTCTGTATTTGAGATGCATGTAGAATAAATAAAGATTGATTCGCCTCTCTTCCCCAACACAAGCTTCTCTTTTAATAACCATTGAAGACCACATCAAACCGACCTCGCAAAACAGTCATTCTCACTTTGCGCCCGTTTGAAAATTAAACACGACTCCAGGCGCAGAAATAAGCCTTCTGGAGTCGAGATTCAGTAGAGAAAAACTTCAAACATTTCAAACCACGAAAATACAGCACTGGCACCGTCCTTTGTGTTGAACTAAACGTCGCAGTGTATTTGGGCTGTCAGCAGTGTTTTGTTCAGTGGATGGATGCTTTAATGAAGAAAGGTACTTTAAAGAACAAAGGGAGCCTTTAAATACAAAGCTATACTTTGTTGTTGAGATTGATTTAAATATTGAAATTGAGATTTGAAATAACTTGACAACAAAGACAAAACAATTGTCAAAAATCATTCCTGCCCGTGTTTCTTTCCCACTAAACACACTGAGCTGTGAGCTAAACTGCTGTGGTTGTCTCTTCATACCCAAAGGTTAAAGGCAGTCTACAGGTAAGAACGAGGGGCTGCAGAGCCATAAATATATATAATCACTAACTCTGACAGTCTGTCCCCATGAGTCCTCTTCTGCAAAAGAATCATGTGAAGCTCTGTGGTCGATGTGATTAATGTTGTCCAGCAGAAGCCGAAGTGCATCGAAGGCATTGTGATGAATGGATTTTTCTGGTTTGGATGATAACCTACAGTCAACATGTGGCTTGGATTATGACATCGATTGTAACTTAATCAGGTAGTTCAGTTCAGATCAATAATTGGTTAAATGCAGAGTTTGTGGTTTCAAACTGCGTTGGTGCTGTTGGTGGAATGAAGGCGCTGGCCTTGGTGCTGAAGTGAGGGATTTATGACACAATCTGCACCATTTACTTTTATCTCTGGACCATATGACACAAACCAGTTCTGTTTTTATAATTAACCTGTTCAGCCTGTTAAACCACATTGTTTTAATCCTGTTATATATATGATATGGGGACATTGCATATTATACATATACACATATATTAAGTCTGTCAATCGATTGATTAAGTTCAATCAAAAGGTCAAACAAATGCAGGAACTTGAATTTATAAGACTGATATTCGACGTAATGTACACATGTACAGCCAGGCTGGTGAAACTGTGATGTGGTTAATATTACATTGATTTAGTGTAATTACTCTTTAAAAGATAATGTCAGTCTATCCACAAACTAGACAAAATGTTCTCTACTAAATGAAACCAGATGTTGACATTCGGCTCCTGGCTTTAGTGAGCGGACTACTGGTATTCTACCTGAGGCTAATAACGTGACGAGCAGTGAAAAGTGTTGAATATTGATTCTTTGGCTGCAGAAATGTGATCCTGGGAGACCTGGCTCTCTGCGCCTACAGCCTGCGCGTCACTCTCCTGACATCAGCACACAGCTTAAATACCCGCAGCTCCGAGCAGTGTAAACACAACCAAGCACACCTTCATATGGGCACATCGGAGACAAACACTGCTGGAAACAGAACAAAAGAATCACTTCAGTGTAATGCACTTTATGCTCTGTCGGAAATAGGTTATTTCAGGATGTAATGTTGCAGTTAATGATGGTTTATTTTGTCTAGCGCTCTATATTTCCGGAGCAAGTTTTCTAAACACCACAGAAAGTTAGAGCACTTTGGTTTTAATAATGATCAACGACACTCTTGCGTTTGGAGAACTGGACACGAATGTTTCCGAGCCGCTGCCGCCTCTCTCTCTCAGCCAGAACCACAGTGGGTTCCCTGCGCTCCGGCTGGAGTCCAAGTCTCTGGTCACTTCAGCCACCATGTTCGCCGTGGGAGTCCTGGGGAACCTGATCGCCATAGTTGTGCTGTGTATCTCCAAAAAAGAACAGAAGGAAACCACTTTCTATACTCTGGTCTGCGGGATGGCCATCACGGACCTGTTGGGTACATGCTTCACTAGCCCGGTGGTGATCGCTACGTATGTGGCCAACCGCTGGCCGGGAGGAGCGCTGCTCTGCCACTTCTTCTCCTTCTCCATGCTTTTCTTCGGCTCAGCCGGGATGTCCATCCTGTGCGCCATGGCTGTGGAACGATACTTGGCCATAAACCATGCGTATTTCTATTCCCAGCACATAGACCGAACAATGGCGCGCTTTGCGCTCCTGGTCACCTACCTGGCAAACATTGTGCTGTGCATCATGCCCAGTTTTGGCTTCGGGCAGCACGTCAGTCACTTTCCCGGGACATGGTGCTTTCTGGACTGGAGGGCGATAGATCCAGTCGGAGCCTGCTACTCCTTCCTGTACGGCGGGGTGATGCTGGTGCTGATCGCAGTGACAGTTTTATGTAATGTGGCGGTGTGCAAGTCGCTGGTGGGGATGAACCAGAAGACAGGAATAGTTAGGACGGAGTTGTCTGAGCAAGGGGGGTCACGTCGCCGCTTCCCCCGGCTGCCTTCAGTCACCTCAGCGGCGGAAATCCAAATGTTCTGGCTTCTGATCTTCATGACCATCGTTTTCCTGGTCTGCTCCATCCCTTTAGTGGTAAGCACAATATGCTGTTTTATTCTGTGTATTCTGTTGTGGTATGAGCTCACGGTGTGTGCCAAACACGTTTAGTTATTGGTGTCGGTTTTATTTGTTATTAAAACATTTATTTTATACATTCTCTGTCTCTTCTTTGTGACAGGTGCGAATCTTTGTGAACCAGCTATACGACCCTGCTTATATTTCTGCTGGGGGGAAGCCTGACTACCGGAGCGACCTGTTGGCGATCCGCTTCGCTTCATTCAATCCCATATTAGACCCCTGGGTGTACATTTTGTGCCGGAAGAACCTGTTACTGAAGGGCTGTCAGAAGCTAAAGAGGACAGTGGCTCTGGTTAAGGATGCTCGTGGTGACAACATTGGCTGGGTAGGAGGTCAACACTCCCCTCCTTCTTTAAACAGCAATGACACCAGTTACGCGTCATTACGCACAGCCAGCTACAGGAACGACGTGGAACACCGGGTGCCCATCAAGAACAAATCCTTCACGGATTTCGCAATGAGGCAAGCATGGGAGTACGACACCGCCCGGGTCAACTTTCACCCGTTCAGCGTCGAGTCGACCGCGATCCTCGGCTGTGAGGAGGAAGTAGGAGCCAACTCCAAAGAGGAGGTGGCGGCCAAGTCTCCAGGACGCAGCGCGACGCCGCTCCTCTCTGCGCACGTTAGAAGAGTGGACACTGTCACCTGCACGTTCAGCACACCGAGTTCATGTCAGTCAGAGAAATGCCTTTGATAGACATTTGTTGTTTGCCAACATGAGTTTAGAAATGATTCGGCAGCTAATTCATCTGCACAGCAAACTGGTACTTTTTGATTCAACTGATTCGAAACCCAGCGCTGCACACTATGAGTTACTTTATCACTTCTGATGGTTTTGAACCACCGAGGAGCCATATCAGTTTAAATGAATGATAACACTTGAAACAGCACTTAGCAACTAACTGTGACTGGAATCCTCTCAACATTAGCACTGATTGATACATCTCTCTTATAAGATGTAAGCTGCTGCAGAAAGGCCTTTAAATTCAATGTTGGCTTTACTTTAAGGGTAAGTGATGAGGATCCAACATGAGTACAACATGTGATTGTGCAGTATGAAATGTCTAGTTTTACATGTGCAACATCTTCACTTATGATGATATTGATATGGATTGATGATATTTGAAGGGGTGGGGTATCACTGGTGGTGATAGTTTTGGGGGTCACCACACCCAGTAGCCACACTGGTAGAGGATAAGCTCTATAATAAGATTCCTGGTGAAAGTAAACAGACAGCACCGTTGGTCGGTGTTGATTTCCAAATATGGAAGTTTAAACAAAATATAGTCATACCCTATGGGTACAATAAAATATGTGACATTCTTAGATTTTGATACAATGTATAAAAATCATATGTGCCATTCACAATACATGTTTATTCATTACGTCTTGTTGTTTCACTTTATTTCAGTTTTGTTTTATCTACCTGCTGCTAATTTACTGCCTATTTGTGCCATTTAACAGTGTTGCATGATGCAGGTAAAACTGAATGTAGATCTTTTGAACATTTAATTGTTAAATGTCATTTTATATTGCAGATTTGCATACAATGTTTTGATAACTGCAGTTGTAAACAGCCAATGTGAACATATCACCCTTTAGAAAATAATAATAAAAAAAAAATACTGCTGTTGCTGTACTGTAAGCTGTATGACCTGTGGTGTTTGTTGGATGTGTTGGTGGGTCTGTGCAGAGAAATAAAATGACACCAAAGACAACACACTGCTGAGTTCTACTTGTTCTAATGGCCAAATAACAATAAATTATTTTTAAAGCAAATGTTCTCCATTGAACAGGCAGGTGGCAGGAGAGCAAAGCTTCTTTCAGTTCAAACTGGGGACAACAGGTTCCCATTTGGTGTTTATTTTAGACCAGCAGGTGGCTCTGCAACATAACAAGTCCAGTATAAAGTGACCTGGAAAAAGGTAAAGTGGAGTTGATCCTGAAATCATTATGAAGGTCACTTTGAGAAAACCCCTCAAACTGTGTAATCAGTGAAGTAAACAGTGCTAACAGGAATTATATTAGAAAACTTTATTCCCTTAAAGGATAATGCCATACAAAAATAAAGTAAACTTTATAAAATAATAATTATTATAATAATAATAATAATAATAATAATAATAATGTGACATATTGGTAGTGTGTTACTGTCCTGTAGTATACATGTTTTACTTGTTTGCTGTACACACATTCTGGACACTGAGACTGTTTCCATTATGCTGTGAAAAAGATGTTATCAATACCCACTGTTAACCACAAAACAAGAGAACAGCTGTCAGACTTGATAAAGTATACCACATCATTTTAATGTAGGTCAATGTTTTTTGATATCTATTATAAGAATCCTTTTTTCAAAGGTCTGTCTGGGATTAAATATAAGGGAGAATCACACTTTTTTTAATAAAATCATTCAATTAACTTTAGAAATATTTATTGCATCCTATCTAATCCTGCCCAGAGTCAGCTGTCCAGCTCAGGTTTATGAGGCATTGAATAAATGTGAAAATCAGCACCTTTAAAATAATAAAAAAAAAATGTACGTACTGTATGCGAGCAGAAGTAACTGTCAACATGAAAACTGAATCTTGGCAATAAATAGATATTTATCTACAATATAGAGTTAATAAAAACAGCTTTCATATCAAGCTATAATAAATAAATAATTTATCAGTAATAAATATATTTTACTTGTATACAGTAATACATGAAGATGCATGGCATCCATTTGTCTGAGTTCACCTGAAAATAGAAAACAAAGAAATGCCTGTTTTTATGTGATGAATGAAAATGATATTGCTTGTGTGAGAAGCTGCTTCATGTGAATAATCATGAACATCAAATCAGTCTTTAGTCTGAATTAGAATATAAACACAGTGTCAGTCCTTTCTTTGTTTGTTTCAGCCTTCAGGTCTTGCCCATATTAAAGCAAAACAGTCCTGTTCACATATAGAGTCTTTCTTTTATGTATGTATAACTGGTCTGGAGTGTCCTGCATTAGTCACCAGTTATTCAGTTGAAAACAATTCACTCTTTGAAGACACAACAATAAATCCAGACTGTGAATCCCCGATGACTTCCCCCTCAGATTCTGACCTCATTCGTCCAGCTGCGCCCGGACCTCTTCCTCCTCAACAGGAAATACACCACAGAAAGTGGCCTCCATCACTTCCTCTGTTGTGTATGTGTCTTACAGCGCCCCCCCCTGGCTCTGCCCTGTCCCCAGGCCTTCCTCACACTGAGCCTCTTGACTCCTTTCTGTTCAGGATGGGTCATAATTTCTTCAGCCCATACACATGCAGCTGGCGGCTGATAACGACTGGATGGTCCTCCACGTGGTCTCGGCGTCCATGAAGGAAACTGGCTCGTACCGGTCGGGCCGGCAGCAGGGGTGGCTGCTGATCTTGCGGGCGGTGCGCCGAGGAAGCGAGCCGTTCTTCAGCAGTACCTTCAGTGCCAGGTCATAGTTTGTTCTCAAGGGCTGGCAGGAGCCCACACAAAACTTAAAGAGGACAATCTCATCCGAGTCAAACCCCAAGCCCAGGTCCCGAACCTTTATCTCTCTCTTCTCCACGCGGCAGTCCCTGCTGCTCTGTATCGGCTGCCTGTTTCTACCTTTACCCTTTCTATCTCCTCTTCCGGTCTCTTCCTCTTCCTCCCTTTCTTTCTTCTTCCTCTTCTTCTTTTTCTTTGGTGATCCCTTGGGTTGAGGTTCTGAGGGGTCAGAGGAGCGTGGAGAGCGTCCCGCCCAGCGACTACTGGGATGGTCATCCACCTCATCTATTACAAAGGGGTCTAAAATGGAGAGGAAAGAAGAGGAGTAGACATAGAGAGTCAGAAAGACAGGAAATTATGAGAAATAACACACACATTCTCCAGTTTCACTACTACCTTTTAACTTCAAATGACTTGTCACACTTTAAATTCCATATAAATATATTTTGCTGACTGAGATACAAAGCAGATCCCCAGGCTCACGCCCTCTCTCCACTTGAATACTGTCTGGTGAAGCAGATGTGCTGTAAATTACACTTTCATAGGGGCTTCAGTACCGTATAGAGCATGCCAAGTGGAGTAAGGGTCACTGTCATCTTCCTGCTCCTCGTCCTCCACCACCTCTGGCAGCGTCACAGGAAGCTCCCGCTCCTCCTGGTCTCCCAGCAGGCCCACAGCATGACCCGAGTCTGATGCCACACCGGCAAAGCCAGCTTTCATATGAGCTCCTTCCACTAGAGGCAGCAGAGAGAGGAGCACCCACAGCAGCACCTACAAGTGACAGAGGTCACATGTTAGCTGGCAAAAAGAAATTTGTTTAAGGATTTGTTAACTGTCATTTTTGCCTGCCAAAAGTTAGCATAATAAATGATCAAGAGTGAATGAAGCCAAGGATTGCCATGCAAAAAGACAGTTGCCACCAGGGCATGAAAAGTAACTAATTACAAGTACTCTCACTTCTGTAATTCCGTAGCCTTTTTATTAATTGGTATTTTTTTTTGTACTTGTATTAATTTATTTTTTTGCCACTTGGCACAGAACAACGAGCTGTAAGCAAACAACTGATTTATTATTTACACGTCTGGCAGACACAGAATTACTTCAGCATTTAAAAAATTTTAAACTGGAGTCACGTTTCTGTTCACCTGGAAAATGTTATGTCCAATATACACTCTTCTTTCAGCTCTATTTTGGTCTTTGCCAACTCCTGAGGGAAATGTGTAGCCCTTTAGCTGCTTAATACTTCACTATGTTAACAAGCTAGTCGTTAACTTTGTCCGTCTGTTGTTTAGTGCTGGCCAGGTAGTCTAAAACAGTAAAGATGCAGGCCATAAAACCAAATCAATCAGTGTAAAAACATTAAAAAGCTACATAAAGCTGAGGGGAACTGCAGCCCTTTCATTATACTCATACTAATTTGATTTACTGTTCACATAGAAATATTGATTGGTGTGATTGGGCTCTTTTCTTTTATAGTGTCCGTACACTATAAATCTATATAAAGCCAAAGCATCATATTTGCCAAATATGATATAATATAATGTGTTTGTGAACTTTAGAGGCACTGGTTGTTGTATTTTTATTTATTTTTTTTACCTTTGGACTGAGCTAGGCTAGCGGGTTCTTTATGCTAAGCTAAGCACCTGTTGTCACTAACTAGCTTCATATTTAGCATACAGACATGAGATTGATATCTGTCTCATCCTGCTCATCAAGAAAGCAAATTTATTTGACAAAATGTAAAAATATTCCTTTAAGTAGATTTTTGATGACGCATTGTTCTCAGCTATTTCCAGAAAGGCCCAGAGTGGCATACAGCTCTGCTGCTGGTTTTGAGCTCTCGTCTTTTGTCTTACTAAGAAAAGGAGGTCAACACCAGAGGAACTGACTGTTTGGTCTTTTGCTCTCATCGTTACCATATTGCTACTTAATAACAAAACTTAGTTCACAAGTGCTTTGCAGATATAAAACAGATTAAGAAAATGAGATAATACTTAGAAGAGCACGCAGCTCTTCAAAAGCTCTTCAGACAAGCTACAGAAGTACTTCATCTTAAGCCTATATCATCAAAAGTGATCTCACTTACTCTTCAGTAAGACTTAAGTCAAATAACTCTGCTTTCTTTCCGCCCTGGATCAAGCTTTGTCCACTGGCTTATAATTTAGCAATGAAAGCTTCGGCGCTGACATGGTTTTATGGAAAGCTCAGTTCTGAGCCTTGCGGGGATGGATTTCATTAACAATTTATACCTGCACATAACTCCTCCTCTGGTTTATAGTGGTCTGTACAGTGGAAATGAAAAATGATAAGGCTAGGTTATTTGCAGAGATGGTGATTTAATTTAAGTGAACAGCAAATACAAAGAGTGAGAAAAAATAAAAAGATAGAGATGGAGAGTAGAGGAAGTGGTAGAAAATAAGAGAAAGAAAAAAGCAGCAGCAGATGAAGGGGAGGATATTTTCAGGGTGCTCTTTTGGCAACAACGTCCATTCTTGACAAACCTTGGCTCTTGCTGACATTACAGAAGTAATCTCCTGTCTATCCTTCCTCCGAACCCTCCATCTGGTCCCACCTGGAGAGAAAGAGAAAGACAGAGGAATGTAAGAACAAGAACAAGGCTTCACTCTGTCAACTTTCCTCCTCCCAGAACTGCCCTTGAAAAGCGTAACATAAACTAAAGGCACAACATGCGGGTGATATGATGTCTATACATCCACAATTGTCCAGATACTGTAAAAAAAAACAGCCCCGCGGGCCCCTGAGCAGGCCGACATGTCACATAAATCACGTCCTCAATGGATGAGGACGCTGTGTTTGTTGTTGCTTCAGTAAAAGGCCAGTGTTCGCTGCCAGCTAGTGTGGCCAGTGTTGGCTTGTCGGTTCATACATCCATGCAAACAGCCCCAGTCCAGCAACAAAAGGCAGCATCTGCGATACACTTGTCAAAGGCATTCTTCAGCGTTATTCCTGTGGCGGAGGCACAAGCAGGGGGAACCAGGCATAGCGAGAGCACTTCGCGGAGGTCCCAGACAAAAAGCCACAGAGATGCAGTACAGGTGATAAGAAGTGTCACGGCTGCAGATGTTTATATATAGTACGTGCAGTGTGGAGGATTGTACTGGCTGCGGTCATCAGGTTCTTTTGTGGACGCCCTAATGTGAAACTCAGCGGAGGTCAGAGCATCACGTACTTCAATTGGGGGAAGTTCCTTCCTCAGTGGAAGGAACTTGTCACCTCACCTATCTTGCATCAGTTCTACAAAAAAGTAATGCTACAGGAAAAGGGATCACAAAAGTCCTTCAGATTCATCCTCTGTGCACCGTAAACATCTGTTCAAAGATTGCACAGCAATCCATTCAATAGTTTTCAGTCTGGAGCAAAGTGGTGAAAATATAATAAAATATCCACGTTATACTAATCTTTGTACTAAATGACTGTTGAAAAGAATTAGTTCCTCTTATATGAACAAGAAGAATGATTACATCAAGCAATAACACTGGGCATGTGAATACAAAAGGAAGTCTGATTTGATTATTTTCCAATTAATCGTTTATTCCAGTGGATCCCAACATTTTTATCTGGTGACCACTCAATACAAAGTTATATTTACTTGAGACTCCTCAACACCAACTGCATATAGTATGTCTACCACTTGTGACCAGTTCAACCAATCAGTATTTTGTTTTATGTTAATACTTTTTACTCTTTCACAATAAAAAAGCAAACATTAGAGAAAGAAAAAAGTAAAATAACTTTGTGTAGCAGACATTTTTTCAGTTTTTCAGTTTTCTGTTTTCCTCGCAACCCCTCATGTTTATCTTGCTGAAAATTGTTGTTTATTAAATTTAAATTAATTGATTCATTGTATTTAAAGAGTTGAGGGGGCTCCTGACCACTGGGAGGAGCCTCGTGTCTTCAGACCAAGGTTAAAAACTATAATCATAAAGCTGCCTCCCAAAACATCTCAGAGAAGCTAAATCAGCACGTCTTTAAAAAGCATTGTAAATCCCACTTTTATACGCTCTGTCTTCTCTGCCTCTTTTTATTTACAGTTTCACTTTTCTTTCTTCTGTAACGTAATTTCTGTTGTGACAAATAAAGTTAACCTTCTTGCTTTCTAATCAAATCGTCGATTCAGCCATAATGTCTGATCTATTTAAATCATTTGGAACAATTTCACGCCCACAGATACCTCCAACATCTTTGAAGCCACATCTGTCATCTCTAAGACGCTTTGTATAATCTTGGCGCTGAACTGCAACAAGACTGTACGCCCACAGTAATGTATTAAAGCGTGTACTGTTCATGTATTTGTAGATCTCTCCGATATGTGGAGGACCACGTTTATTTAACAGTCAAAAACAATCCCAGCAGTTCTGTCTGTGCACTGAGATGGAAGACTGACAAAAGGTTACAGATCACAGGTCACGATAAGACCTGTTGATGCATTTATGCAATCCTGCGTGTTCCAGCTGTAGCAATTCAGTTGAGGGAAAGCAAAGCTACAGACGCTGGAGGGTGGGAGAAGGAGCAAGAGGATGAGGAGAGACAAACTGAGCATAATTCAGCCAAACAGACAGACTGCAGACCACCGCCGCAACATAAAACCAAACAGTGCTGACTCCCTCCATCTCTGGACAGAGCAGTACACATCCTCAGGAAAGGTGCCAGTCTGAGTCCCTAATGCCACAGCTGGGAGTGTTTAGCCCCTTTTAGATCAGCGAGCTGGGAGTCTACACGGGCCTGTCTGCTGGTTCATTTCACCCCAGCACTCTGGAGCTGTTTACAGCCCGACGCCTGCAGCCTTTTTCAGGGATGAGGTGGGTGGGGGAGTCGCAGGGTGGAGAGAGGAAGAAGAGAAGGAGCAAGACACTGGTCCTTGAAGAGCTCCAGACTGACACAAGCCTACTGATAGTGTGTGTGTGTGTGTATGTGTACAATTTTAGATCAAACAGTGTGCATGTGCGTGTTTCTATGTGTGTTTAGAGAACCGAGCATGTGTTTCTTCCTCGTTGGGCTGATTAAAGCCTTTGGTTTGTCCATCAGGCTGGATGTCTGCAGCAGGGAGTCCGGGGTTCTTGTCACCTTCCATTTGCATTGTTGGTTCTCCGTGCTCCAGTTGTTGTTCACAGTTAGTTAAAGTGGGTGAGCCCTCCTGAAGCAAGTACAACCCATAAAGCCAGAGCCAGCTACTATTTCCAGAGCTTATTCTGCTGTTGTGAATTGCAAATACTGTCTAAGTGCTTGGAGCGGATGGATGTGGATTTTGTTTTGGGGATATTTATGAGGTAAAAAAACAGGGTATCAGCTTTAAAACAGAAGTTCACTGAATATCATGTGCGCTAAGCAGAAGTATGCACTAAAGCAGGGATATTGAGAGGGTTTTTATTCACCATTGCCAGCGTTAGGACGCTCCTCTTACAACCATCATCTGATATCAACCAACATCTTAACAATTGATTTTCTTAGACCACATAAAATCTAATCTAGTTTAGCCAAGTAGCAGTTACAGCTGTTTCTACGGCCTCTGACTCAGGCAGCTGTCTGCAGCTGGTTTCATTAACAAGGCCCGGTACCCCCACTGACACTGACTCTTAAACCCCACCTGTATATATGCATTACATTAATGCACTCCTGTTGGTTTTTCTATCCTGCACATTGTAAATATCTTTCCTGTACAGTTTTAGATCTTTTCTAACTTGTATTTTATTATTTATATTTAAAAAGTACTTGCTGATTAAGTGTGATTTTTATGCACCAACGCACCAAGG